CAAGAAATAAGAGCAAGAATAGTCACCATAAATCAAAGAGATTTCTTGCACCAAGAAAGCAAGATCTTGTGACATTTCTTGCGCAAGATCTTGGGCAAGAAAGCCCTCGCAAGAAAGTCGACTAGGGGAACAATATTTTCAGCCGAAAAAGGACAATATTCAGACTCATCACTGGTGTATGTATCGAAGAAAGAAATAAGAAAATACAATAAATGAATTTAGTTCGTTACTTCTTAAGATCTTGATATATACTGCTTAAGTTCAAGAACGCATGTTGGAGAAGTTCACCTCCTGATGTGATGTAGTAGTTTTTGTCTGCTACCAGTGTAGCATTTTCCATATTCTCTCTCTAACTATTTTACTTAGTATCCAAATCTTAGAACGTCCGGTACTTTTCTTTTTCTTATTTTTTGTTACGCCATTTTCTTACGCATGTTTCATAAACATTGGTTGCAAAGACCAGAAAATAAAAACGAAAAATAAAGAGTAAAGAATATCGGCATGAAAGATCAATAGACTATCTACATTATGTCCAGGTTCTATAGTTATAGTTATGTACAAAACATGCTAAAGGAGATTGAACGCTAATAGATTAGAAAAAGAAGCTCCAATATTTCATACGGTTTCCAGTTCAAAAAGAACTGTAGTTCAGTTCAAAATCTTATGTTTGCGAAATGAAATACATAATATATCAACAAATCATAAAAGGACACTGAGCAGTTTCTAGTTCAAAAAGAACTGTAGTTCCCGTTCGCGAAACCAAAACTGGTGAACCGTCCCAAGTTCCTAGAAACGTGAACTGCTGAACCGTTCCTAGTTCAGGACGGCAACTGAAAAACAGTTCCCGTTATCGAGAAACTGCAGTACAAGAAACCATGAACTGTCACAGGCCTAGTTGCGATGTAGAAACATGGATTTCTTCAGGAAAAAGCATGAAGTTCTTGGCAAGAAACATGGATTTATTTTGGGAAAAACCTGAAGATCCTGTGAAGAAAGATTTGTTGTAGTTAAAACATGAAGTGCTTCTCAAGAAACATGAGAAAAGATGAAGCTCTGGTGAAGAAAGATGGATTTCTTCTTTAAAAAAAATGAAGTTCTTGTAAACAAACATCGATTTCCGGAGGAACAAACATCAAGTTCTTATGAAGACAGATGGATTTCTTTCGGAAAAAACATGAAGTTACTGTGAAGAAAGATGGATTTCTTTTGGAAAAAACATGAAGTTCATGTCAAGAAACTGGGATTTCTTTACGAAAAAAGATGAAGTTGTGAAGGAACATGGATTTCCGAAGGCATAAGCATGCTATTCTTGTGAAGAAATATGCATTTCTTGTGGGTAAACCATGAAGTTCTTGGCAAGAAACATGGATCTCCTTACGAAAAAAGATGAACTTCTTGTGAAGAAACACAGATTTATTTTGGAAAAAACCTGAAGATCCGGTGGAGAAAGATTTGTTCTGGTTAAACATGAGAAAAGATTAAACATGAGAAAAGATGAAGTTCTGGTGAAGAAATATGGATTTCTGCTGGAAAAAAGATGATGGATTTAGGAAGGAATAAACATCAAGTTCTTATGAAGACAGATGGATTTGCGAAGAAATAAACATCATGTTCTTGTGTAGAAGGTTGGATTTCTTCCAGAAAACCACGGATTTTGGGTTCCACAAAACATGTAGTTTTCCTGAACAAAGATGGATTTCTTTTGGAAAAACCGTGAAGTTACTGTGAAGAAACATGAATTTCTGCTGGAAAAAACATGAGCTTCTTATGAAGGATGGATTTCTTATGTAAAAAACATGAAGTTGTAAAACATGAATTTCTTTAGGAGAAAACATGCAGTTATTGTGTAGAAATATACTCTTGCGTAAAGATTGATGACACCTTGTAACTATTAGGCTTCTAGTTGCAGGTGGTTGTTTCAGGAGCGTACCGGACGTTTATTGCTACGGCAAACAAACTATTGACCGTAGCAAAAAGCCTTAAAAAATAGTTTGTCTTTTAGGAATTGACCCAAAAAATGTAAACTGTTCGTTTGCCTTTTTATGTTCTGCTTTTGTTTTGCTATTACTGACTTTTGTATTTAAATATAGTTTCTGAACTACATCCATTTTTGTGCATGCCCTTCAGCAGCGTAACCAGGATTTTTAGACCAATGGGCAAACTTCTATTGTGTCGGAAAAAACGATGGGCAAAATGGGCAAGGTTTTTGTTGATGGGCCAAAACATTTGTGGTCCAAAAAGAACACAAAAAAAATGAAATGAGGTTTTCTTAATCAAAGATATGCATCAAACTCAAATACATTTACTATCTAATTCAAAAATAAACAAATAATTCTGTCTATCCACACTCTTACATATATTTTACTAAACGTTATACGAAAAAAACTTCATGCGTATATCTTCCAAGTAAAATTTCAATGGGCAAATCTCCAAATGAAATGGGTAATTGCCCATTTGCCCTCCCCTTGAATACGCCGCTGATGCCCTTGATCCGATCTTCTTAAAACAGGATGCCATTTCCCTGTTTCCGGCAGCAACACCAGCTAACGATCCTGAATTTTCGGTTCAGATGGCTGCTAAATCACAGCTCTACTTTACAACGCAAATCTAAAGCTACTTTAAAAGCTTGAAGCAAAAAAAACATTTATTGAATTGTGGTGATATACCTTCGAACACAATGCTAATTCGCAATTCTCAAAACAGCGTAACTTCTTTTTCTTTTAAAATATCAGCATTCGACAGAGCATAAAAAGTTGTTCATTTCGTATAGATTTCTCATTGCTTCCAGCTTTCGTTCAGTTACAATGACAAAAATACGAAAACAAATGTGGCTTTTTGTCGATTTGGGTCCTCTCTCGAATTTTTCAACCACCTAGCCTAAACAGATCCTGCTTTCAAGCACATATTCTGAAAGAAAAAACACTTTTGCACATTCTAAACTTCTTTTGAATCTATGAAAAGCATTTTTAATATGGATTATCGAACAAAACTTGTAGAATACCATCTAGTGGTCCCAATTTAGAAAAACTCACTTTTCTTCATGAAAAGTCAACTTTTTTCAATTTCGAAGGTAATATTCGTGATCAGCGCGAAATTCGGCATCTAACTCATATGGTATCAAAAATATCAGAGAAAAAAAGTTTTCCAGAAATCCTGAGGGGGATTAGGAGATTATTTTCCGAACTAAGAATTTTGCAGTTGGCACCTCTGACTACATCCTGAAATCTAGTCTTAGCAGCTAGGGTGCAACAATTGTGTTGTGTGTTAGAGAACTGTCACTCAAATGTCATGCGAATCATATGACCTGAACAACTACATGTCAGTTGAAAATAACATCTATAGATTATGACGTTCGTAGTTTGCATGTTGTCATACACTGTTCATGTCAGAAAATATTATAAAACGGATATTTCACGTATAAAGAACCTTTTCCAACACATGTCCACATGCTATGAGAAAACCATAGGGTCTGTTAAAGTGTTTACAAGTGCGCACTTTAGTAAGTTTTCGGCTGGTTCAGAAATAACGATATTGATTTGAATGCGTCAAATCAAGGATTGTTAAGATCTTACTGGACACAGATTTTCAAGCGCAATCAAACCCTGCAGTTAATTTGATCAGTTATTACTCAAGATTCCTCTAGTATCAAAAGTATTGATATGTAGAGAGGGACGAAAACCACTTTAAACATGCCGAAAAAGTCGCTCTCGTTCTATTCAATCTACTAAATAAATTTTGAAAGTCTTTTCAAAAGGTTTTCCAATATTATTCAAAAGTGCGTCGGAGTAAGCTCGTCTGGTTTCGGAAAGAAAAATCAATTTCGCTTGTTTAAAGATAGAAGGAAACGTGTTCGTCTGAATCAAAGAATGATAAAGTTGTAGAAAGATTACACCATAATCGCTAGGTAAAAGTTTTAATAGAATATTTGATAATCCAGTGATATCTTTTGACTTTTTTTAGTCTTATGCGTAGAAAGTGCCGTATAGCGAGTGACCCATAAGTAACTGTTTACTTTGGTACATAGGTTTTCATGTTCTTCCACCTACACTAAAAATGTCGATTTTAGCTCTCAAACAGAGAACTTAATTATGTGCAAAACAACATATCTCATTCGATTACTGAGATTTCGACTATATTGAATAATGAAGACATGTAAGAATTTTCAATACTTTCAACGTTCTAGAAGTATCATATCGCAGATGATCTTATAACTCGTCACTTTGTTGCAGAATGGCAGAATGATGAAAAGAAATTTTACAAGATCTTATTTTATTTTTTGCACAATGTTGCTGTAAATATCTATGAACGAACGACGAAATCTACTGTTTATAGATACAAACACATAATTATAGAAAACTTGAATATTTTCAAATCTAAATTTCCAAACAATAGAAAAAATTAAGAAGTCTCATAATTGATCTTTTTTCATCAAGGAAAGGACATATTTCGTATCAACATCATTTATTTCCCCTACTATATCTAAAGTGTCACTGTCGCCAATATGTTTAACGCCCGATTGCTTCTGGTCCAGTTGAATATCATTTAAGTATTTTTCAATTTGTTCAATAACGACACGTTCGACATTTTGTTTTAAATGCTGTTGCTCATCTGGAATGAAATCCCATTTTTGATAAACTTTTCCATGTGTCGAATCCGATAAACAAAATATTCGTTTATGTTCTTTATTCAATTCGGCAATATATAGAGAACATAAATAACATGACATTTTAGATATACCAATCTCAACGTCTAACTGACCTTCAATTTCGTTTATTTGATTTTTAAGTAAATAATCTATTAATAGCAGTTCGCAATGTACGCAAACGTCGAGTGTTTTTGATATATCATATTGTTTATTTAGATTTGGCGCCAAAACATTATTGACAGTTTCCTCTGGATCAATATCAGGAAACAAATTACTCCATAACATTCGAAAAACGTTTGTTGGTCCGTTATTAAGTAGGACGCATCTTTCATGTGGATTAATAATTCTCCATTTAATTTCTCTGTAAATATATGCATATCTTGCTTGATCTTGTTCAAAACATTTTAATAAGCCGTTGAGGGCTCTCATATGAGCTGATATTTTATCAATATAATAATACACTCGTGGATCTTTAACAATCAGAATTTTGAAAATCGTTGACTCATACAATAATAATGCATTATTTTGAAGTTTTCTAATGTCACTGTGAAGAGGGTTTTTACGACTCTTTTTAATTATATCTCGTAATTCTATTAATCGTTCGACACGTGCAAGAAGAAATGAAATATAATTTTCAACTGTCATATTTTCTTTCATCAAACATGCATATTCAGTTGTAGATTTGTTCTTGATATAAATGCCAACATTTGTATTTACACTATTAATGATTTGTTGTTTTTCATTATCATCGATTTTTGTTACTTGCAACAATTGTTTCACTGCATCATCAAAAAGGTAGTCGAACAATCGTTTCATTATTTTTTCTTGATTGAAATTATTAACGAGATTGATCAGTATGTCCTTAATATCATCAAAAGTGTCATTTTGATTATCTGTTCGATCAACATTCCAAAACATTGACGAATATACTCGAATTAACGAAAAAAATTGATCAAAATAATACCGGTCAACATTTTCTAGCTTTTCATTACGAGCAATCAATATAACTTTTTCCTTCAACCATGGGTATACAACAGTACATACATTTGATCCATTTAACAATAGTGCAAAACCATTTAAGAATGAGGTCCGCTTTGATAAACTATTTTCACATCTGTATTTTCGAGTGTTATATGAAAGAGCTTGTGATAATAATACATAATTGTGAAAATCAATCGACATTATTTCTAAAAACGAAAGCAGATCATAAATTACAATTATTGTACTTACCAGTTCGATGACTCCTACACAAAGGAGGTAACTTTCCTTATCGCAGATTTATTAAACATGTTCTGTTTCCTGGAGTTCTATCAGATGAAACTATTTAGATCCTCTATATACCGGAAACATACATAGTATTTACTGAATATTTGTACTCAACGCAATGACTTGTAACATTTTTTTCGTTAATTTAAGGTGTGTACATCAGGACTAAAGAGCAAATGCTTTGCTCAGCAGACACGACTGTTTTTCAGATCTCTTTATTTCTTGAAATCTACAGCAGGTTCGAAATGCTACGATCCATTCTACAAAATAGTGACTGTGGTTGTTTCTGATTAACTTTTAAACGAAAAGAGATAAAATTCTTAAAAAAAAATAAAAAAAAGTATTGTGGTTGCACATTGGACTAGAAAGTGAAATTTTTGCATCTCTGTTAAAACTTTTTTACATGGGTAACTTGACATGCTCTATGATCTGGCACTTTCAGAATGTGTCCAGCTGAAAGTTCATAGTCGACCTTCAGAGACCCAGTTTTCAGAGAACTATCCAAGAAAAGCCTAATATATTACTACTATTCTTTTCAAAAAAGCCTACCTGTGGATATTTTTGATAACTCGAGAACAAAAGGCAATAGAGAAATTGCGATTTCTGCCATTGAAACGCGGAAACTTAGGAGCATTTTTCCATAAGGAAAATGGTTTTCGAGATTGATCTTTCAAAAAGGTTTGTACGAGACCTTTGAAAGACCAAATCACAACTCAACAGAGTTCCAATACAAATGAAGATCCAACCTGAAGATCCTGTGAAGAAAGATTTGTTCTGGTTAAAACATGAAGTGCTTCTCAAGAAACATGAGAAAAGATGAAGCTCTGGTGAAGAAAGATGGATTTCTTCTTTAAAAAAAATGAAGTTCTTGTAAACAAACACCGATTTCCGGAGGAACAAACATCAAGTTCTTATGAAGACAGATGGATTTCTTTCGGAAAAAACATGAAGTTCATGTCAAGAAACTGAGATTTCTTTACGAAAAAAGATGAAGTTGTAAAGGAACATGGATTTCCGAAGACATAAGCATGCTATTCTTGTGAAGAAATATGCATTTCTTGTGGGTAAACCATGTAGTTCTTGGCAAGAAACATGGATCTCCTTACGAAAAAAGATGAACTTCTTGTGAAGAAACACAGATTTATTTTGGAAAAAACCTGAAGATCCGGTGGAGAAAGATTTGTTCTGGTTAAAACATGAAGTGCTTCTCAAGAAACATGAGAAAAGATGAAGTTCTGGTGAAGAACGATGGATTTCTTCTTTAAAAAAAATGAAGTTCTTGTAAACAATTAAACAAAACAAACAACAGCCTTATCGCATTCAGATATAATATTTTAATAGCTGAACAACTTTAATATGAGCTTTAAATAATATAGCACGAAGAACGAAGAGGAGAGAAATAGAAAAAAAGAAACAAATTCGAAACCAAATATCCATTCCCCCGGTGTTACTGTGCGTATATCACTCTCCCTTTGTGCATATTCTTTCTCTCTCTCAACGTTCATTTCTTGGTCAGTCATATTTTATTACTCTTCCGTTGTTCATTCTATCATTCGCTCTCTCCATTCATATTTGATCACTCTCCTTTTGTCTTCTGGACTATATATAGAGTAGCACATATTCGAGAGTCTATTGTACAATAAACTCGCTAATGAATAGAATTCCTTTACACGGTATATTTGTTTTTTCTCCTATTATCAGTCATCCGAATTGATCAGTGATCAAATTCTTTTTCTCAACAGAATTCACTAGATAATAGTGACATACTGTTACTAGGGAATAGCCAAATTTGACTGATAATATGAAGAAAACTTTTAAAATTTCTCGGGCCGGGTCAGACCGTAAAAAACGCTGATCCGACCGAGCTAAAAACTTTTCCCGGACGGCCCGCTCGAGAAAAAAAAGCGAATGGGTTGGCCCGGCCTGGTCCGGGGCGGGTCAGTCCCGGGCCGGGTCATAGAGTCGGGTGGATCGGCAGGAGGAGGTAGACAACAAAGAATGAATATACAATTAATCAAATAAAAAACCTTTTAAAATCAGATACAAGTCCAAAACACTACATTATTCTTAAAAATGAAAGTAAAAGATTAACATCAAATTCATGGGAAACGTTTGGTTTACCAAGTAAACTTGAAGCTGATGGTACATATCAAGTTATATCTGATTTTGCTAGTTGTTTTAATTGTAAAAAAACGTTACATTATGAAAGTAGTACAAAATATATGAAAAGTCATAATTGTATACCTTCAACAACAATAAACGAAGGACCATTAGCTAAATATTTAAATAATAATAAAGTTACCGATGTTCAAAGACAAGACAAAGATCAAATGAAACAAAAATTAACTCAATGGATTTGCTCATCAGTTCATTTAGTATTGTTGAAGATTTCGGATTAAATGAAGTAATTCAAGAAGCTGTTCGTATTGGTAAGTCAAGATAGCTGATCGGCTCAATTAATAATAAATGCATCGTTTTTTTTGCATTTCTAGGTCAAAAGTATACTAATCCAGTTAATGTTAATGACATTCTTGTTAAAACAGATTCACTCAGCAGTTCGCGTTTCTAGGAACTTGGAACGGTTCACCAGTTTTGGTTTTGTGAACGGGAACTACAGTTCTTTTTGAACTGGAAACTGCTCAGTGTCCTTTTGTGATTTGTTGATATATTATGTATTTCACTTTGCAAGCATAAGATTTTGAAAGAGTGAGCGTTGGGATGAGATATACTCAAAGAGACTCTCAGATTAGGTGGTAGACTTTGCTGATAAATTTAGTTCGTTACTTCTTAAGATCTTGATATACTGCTTAAGTTCAAGAACGCATGTTGGAGAAGTTCAGCTCCTGATGTGATGTAGTAGTTTTTGTCTGCTACCAGTGTAGCATTTTCCATATTCTCTCTCTAACTATTTTACTTAGTATCCAAATCTTAGAACGTCCGGTACTTTTCTTTTTCTTATTTTTTGTT